GTTTGCTCCTTCTACTGCCGACCCGTCGCTGTTTCTGCGCACCGACACCTCTTTGCCGCTATTCTACATCCTCGTGTACGTCGACGACTTGGTCTTTGCTACAGCTGACACTGCTGGACTCGCCCACGTGAAGTCCGAGCTGCAGAAGAGACACACGTGCACAGACCTGGGTGAACTGCGCAGCTACCTTGGCTTGCAGATCACTCGGGACAGAGCACAGCGCACCATTACCCTGACTCAGTCACACATGGTGCAGCAGGTCCTTCAGCGCTTCGACTTCACGTACTCCTCGCCTCTGGCCACTCCTCTGTCTACTCGCCACTCGCTCTCAGTTCTGCCTTCGGATGAGTCCGTAGAGCCGAGTGGCCCGTACCCAGAGCTTGTTGGCTGCCTCATGTACCTGATGACCTGCAGTCGACCTGACCTTGCATACCCTCTTAGCATCCTGGCACGCTATGTTGCTCCTGGGAGACAGACCTGAGTACATGGCTGCAGCGAAGAGGGTGTTGCGTTACTTGTGCAGTACGTCGGGCATGGGGCTCGTGCTTGGAGGGCGGAGTCCAGTGGTCCTCACTGGTCACGAAGACGCGTCTTGGGTTGACGACCAGGCTACGCAGCGGTCGTCACAGGGTTACACTTTCAGCCTTGGTTCCGGTTCTGTTTCGTGGCGGTCTACCCGCTCGTCTTCTGTTCTCAGCTCCAGCTGTGAGGCTGAGATCTACGCAGGGGCCATGGCTGCACAGGAGTTACGCTGGCTCACCTACCTGCTGACTGACCTAGGAGAGCCGCCTCGTTCTCCTCCAGTTCTGTACGTAGACAACAAGGCCATGCTGGCCTTGTGTCGGGAGCACAGACTGGAGCACAGAACGAAGCACATTGCTCTTCGCTACTTCCTTGCTCATGAGCTGCAGCAGCGTGGTTAGCTACGCCTTGCTTACGTGGCCTCTCGGGCCAACACTGCTGATATCTTCACCAAGGCACTTCCGCCTTGTGATCATCAGCGCTTCTGTACTCTGTTAGGTCTTGTGCCTATTTGGCCTCACTTGCTCACTTCTTGACGTTGCTTGTACTGTGACCTATATATACCTGCACTTGCATGTTTACCTTTATATATATAATTCTGCATGTGAACTGGCCTTGTGGCCTTTGAACTTGTGCTCAGAATGTGTGGTGACGTTGTGATCCACCCTGAGCTTGCTATGCTTTGCTTGACTGGTCTTGTGACCCCTTGTTCTCCCCCACTTTGCCTATGGGGGTGTGTCAATCTTATAAGCTATAGTCTATCTAGGCTGTAGTGGGGTAGACACTAAGGGGTATAGTTTCCTAGGGTTTCATATTTGTACCCTTCACATTTCTTAGTCATTTCATTCCTCATTCTTTCACAGTTATGACGGGGTCTTCCATGGTGACGCGCGTCTCGTCATCGACGCGAGCAACGTGTGGGGGTATCAGCAGCAGCTCGCAATGGGCAAAATCAGTGGCATGCATGAGGCCTTCGCCGCGAGGCCTGAACTCATCTATTAGCCACTGCAGTTGCCCCAGCTCCAACACAAGTGGTTTAGACAGTACGCTAAGTACTGGGTTCTTGTACGCGGGGATGGCGAATCGCCATGATGCTGGTACACATCCGGCACGCCACCAGCTAAGATGGACTGACTTAGGCGTGGCTTCTGACCACGAGGCCCCCATCCATCGAATCATGTGTAACAGGGGCGGGAGTAGGAACTCAGTGCCTGCGCGCCACTCCGGAGACCGCATCAAATGTCGCAGGTAACATCCACGATAAAGCGTCCTCCACAACTCCACGATCCCACACAGGCCGGGATGGATGCACCGCGGCGCAGCGCCGTGCATGTGAACGATACGGAGGTTGCTCAAGTGCTGCACGAGGAATCCATGTTCCGTCGTTTCCAGAGCGGAACTGTCAGTCGTAGCGTGTGAGTCTTTCGTCACAAGGACAACGACGTGGTCATCCGTTGAGTACGAGACGCCATTCAACGCCTCCAGGTACTCGCTGAATATCTGCGGGGGGAGCAGGCAGACGAGTGCGAAGTAGAGTCAGTAAGGTGAGTCATAGCGGTAGTAGAAAGGTGACTGCCATGGGCTCTCGAGATAATGCGTAACAGTACGCACCGCTGGGGTGACTGTTCCGTCGATGGTGTGGCGGACAAAGACGGGATGTCCGGCTGGGTTTTCTATGCCCTGCGCAAGCACGCCGTCTACGCGAAAGATTACCAAAGGCGGACACATGACGGTGCCTGCAGCATTGAAAAGAAAGCCAATGTTGAGGTGCCATTCGGGACGCGGGTCCACTCGTCCATCACCAGAATCACGGAAGGGCAGCTTGGTAGGTAGGATGGCTTCTTCCACAAAGCAGAAGACGTCCTGAGGGTGAGCCCGTATCTCGTCGAGGAGAAGAGCCATTTCAGACATGGTGGAGTCAATAAGCGGTGTGCACATGTACCACGCTTGTTATAACATAAGGGAGCAAGACAGACAGTGCCATTACCCACACGGACGTTATCTGCCACGTAATCAATACCCTAACCACCGTCGTTCACTTGCGTACGTGACATGGACACGTGGAGTAATGTCATTTGGACACAGTGCGCCACTATCCGACCGCAGGGAGGGGAACAGGTGGGATGAGTGGACCGGATGAGACCAATGTACAGTGACCGGATGGGTTTCAATGTACGCGGGCAAAATGACGTGCCAAATGTCAAATGGATATCACCGGTTTATGCCAGCACTGAATACGCTGGAACCGAGCTGGGAGAGACCTGCAGCCGGTGCAAACATTCAGGCACATATTACGCCGTCCGATGGACGAACAGCCTTATCGTCAGGCTGAAGTTAGGGTTTGCACCTTCTCTTGCAATGCTGGGAAACGCCTGTGAGGCGTGCGGTGTGGAGCATGTCGACGACAACACACTTCAGTCGCACGTATCTAACAATATTAAATGCAGGCGCAAGATTCAACACTCCCGTGCCCAGCGGCTGGTGGAGGCGTATCGGGACGCGCTCCGCGCCAGGCGAGGAGCCAGGCACCATACACCCGTGCGTTCTCCAAACAACCATGCAGTCGCCACGGCGTCGGGCGGAGGAGTGGCCCCAGCTGCAGTTTTCGATCAGCCTGACGATCCCATAGTTGCAGCTGAGGAGAGCGATGGGGAAGAGAGTGTTATGTCCGATATCCACGACGGCTTCAATACTCTCATAGAGCTGTACATCTTTTTCCGCGAAGCCGATCTTTCGCGACAAGAGGTGAACAGACTGCTCAGCATTTTCGAGAACCCTAAGTTCTCTTTGCGGGACGTGCGAAGGTGGCTCAATTTCGTGGATGTCAGACGGTTTGGGCGCAAAAGGGCACCAGTTGACCAGGTGCCATGGAAGACGAGGGGCGTCAAATGCTATGGACCAGGAGGGAGGATGTGCACGCTGCTATTGCACTACTGGGACACGGAGCTGGTGAGAAAATACATAGGTCACTCCGCATCCATGGGTTTACTGCTTATCATCCTCATCCCTTAACACGTAGTGGGTGTGGGTTTGGCAACTGGTGAAGAAGTTGTTACGGGCATTTCAGCACATCACGGGGTTTGTCACCAAGCCGCGGAGGGACGAGGAGGACACCGAGGACGCACGGCATTACAGCACGCCGGACACTGGAAAGTGGTGCCACGAAGCGCATGTGAGGTGTACGACCATGGTATACGATTGCGACTAGCTCAATGTATGCTAGTCCTAATACCGGTCTCTCAACGTGCACAGGCCACCATGCCAGACGAAGACTGCATTGTGCTAGGGGTGATCGTGTACAGCGACAGCGCGCACGCATCCAGGAACGGCAGACTTGCTGCGTGGCCGGTACTCATCAGTCTCTACAACATCCCGGAAGCGCTACGCTGGCAGGAGCCGGGACACCTCATGGCGGGAGTGCTGCCATTCCCGCCAGAGTGGGCGTCGTCAACAGAGAAGACACGAGTTTTCCAGGCGTGCATGGAAGTGATTTTTGAGCCATTACTAAGGGCACACCGAGGGTAAGGGGAGCCCTGGTCATGTTACAGGCATGGTATGGTGGATGAGACACGGACCTGACATTTGGTGTGGCCACAAGCGCAGTGCGGAGCTCTGATAGTTCTACGTCACCGATGCTACGGGGAAGGTGGTCAAGGCGGTTCCCTGTCTTTTCGGACAGCTTGGTGACTACCCAGAGTCGTCAAGATCGACAGCAACGATGCAGGTTCTGTTCCTTGCCTGCGCCGCTGACCTACTTCACGTCCTGGACGCGGGCATGCTCCCACGAATGGGCAAGTGCTTCATGGTGGGGAAGAGCAAGCCAGAGAGAAGGGAATTTGAGAGGTGTGTGCGCTCTCACCCGGATATTTCTAGCTGCAGCGTGACGAACATGCAATGCACGTAGCTGACAGAGGATGTGTGGTTTGGCAGGCGCCGCAAGGAGCAAAAGAAGGAGACGCGCGCAAGTGTGGTGCGCATACCAGGAGGGACAACATGGTTTAGCAGTGGGGCAAACTACGCTGCCTTCGAGCACAGGGGGATGATGCAGGTGATGCCCTTGCTGATTGCCGACAGTATGGCGAAGAGCAAACCGGCGGCAAAGGAGAAACGGCAACGGGAGGTGGCGGCGTTTGTGGCATACGCCAGCTTCTACAAGGCGCTAGTCGGCGTGACAAAGCACACGGACGACACCCTAGACGACGTCAGGGCAATGGCAGTCACGTAAGTACCACGTGATACGTTCCCCCCCCCAAACTACTAACTTTTAGCGTCCTCAAGGTTGGGTATGTGTAGTATGGACGGTGGTGTGCAACGACGTGTGCTGATGGTGTGCTGCGCCATTACATCCGCCGTCACATCCGCATCACGTGTCGCTGTGCAGAATGATGGAGGCAATCGTCGCTGCGTTTCCCGACCAGATCTCAGGCTGGAACATCCCGAAGGTGCACCAGATTGTGCACCTGATTGACGGTATCCCTATGCGTGGCTTGACCCACGAGACATCCACCAACCTGTGGGAGCACACACACAAGGGCACGGTGAAGGTGCCGGTGCGAGGGAGTAACTGGCAGGACATCCCACGCCGCATCATCGAGGAGGCGGTGCAGCGCGCGATAGCGTGGGAGGTGTCCGCGGACGCAGGCGACAACATGCAGTATGTGACGGCGCTGCGCGAGGTGGGTGCAGTCTGCGGCACGCAGTCAATCACTCTATGTAGCATGACGTATTGTCTCGGAGTGCGATCACATTCTGGAATCATTCAGAGACTGTATCACAATCCGTGTGCCCACAGGCCGTACGGACGAGCAAACCCGTCCTCACGAAGAAATTCCGTCCTGCAAATGTGGACGAGGACCTGGACGCGGTTATGTGGGTGTACCGCGAGGCACATGGGTCCGACATGGACGCATTCGCAGGGTGCATGAGGGCGGTTGGCATCCCGTCCCCATCCACCGCGGTGAGGGCTGCGTTTATGCAATTTCGTGTGGCATGTGCACCACTATCATCGGACACTTGACAGTGTACATGATTGCCTACTGGTACTGGTGGGTTAAGTCACCATATTTGCATCCATGTTGACCGTGATGCGCAGGTGCACACCGTTGTGGCGATACCCGAACCCGGGGGGGGGGGGGGGGGGGGGGGAGCTTGTGCCGAAGGGCATGTTTGTGAAGGCAAGCCCATCAGAGAAGTGGTTTTCAGACGTGGCCGTGCTTAACCCAGGCGAGGGAGAGTGGTACGCAAGGTGCCTATGCATCTTCAGGGCAAAGGGGGTGGATGGAGAGATGGGGAGGCACGTGTACGCGAAGTACTACGAGGCGGAGGGCACGTGCCCGATGACAACTTGCTTGCAGTTGACCCCCGGCCGTGTGAGGTTAAGGTATTCTGCGGTGGATGTGGAGTGCATCCAGAGGGTGGTGCACATTTGCAAGTCTTATGTGGACAAGCGCGTCATGCTCCTCAACAGGTTCCTCCTGACCGAATGAACATGAGTGGGGTTCTTGTCGCATGTCGTTGGCTTCTCGAACGGTTTCAGACGCAATAGATGCTGATTATGTGTGAACGGGCGATGACCAACTTGGTGATGTTTACAACACAACATTGTAGACTAGTATTTAGTGCAGTATATGTCGGTTAAACGTGAAGGTAGTGCAATTTGCTTCGACATTTTAATCGAGTAGACACTCAATAGAGGAGGACAATGTGCAGTGGCACGCATCGAACTAAATGTGCGGCTCGTAAAACGGGTGTCACGCTGCATGAAATGTGCGGTGCGAGCAGCGGAAGGTTACATGCAAGGGGAACAGCCCAAAATGTGACTTTTTCGTCACATGGGGTTTGGGATCTTTTGTGTACTGTCTGGGACTTTTTGTATGCTTTACCGTAGAAAAACCCCCAGACCCCGAAAATGTGCTTCTTCCTTCTCCGCGATGCACAATGAACATTCGCCAACGGTTTTCGTACCACAATGACCATTCGCCAACGGTTGCCGCTCAACATCCAGCAGCATTGCGAATCACGTGAGTACTGTTCGACGGTGGTGCTCTGTGTCAATGTCAAGCAATGCGATGCGACGCCGAGTTTATCCAGCCAGGCATGTCAATCTCCGGAATTTGTTCGCCAGCACATCAGCGGGAGCACTCTCGATTCGATGGAGGTGCAAGCAAGGATACACCCATCCGTACGGTACAAGATCGTCGCTGTTACATTGGCTCACGAGCCTGAGCTGTCCACTGACTCAGCAGCACAGCCACGTTGGAGGAGAAGGTCAAGTTCGGTCCGCTTACTGGAAAACATGACCCCCCCTCCTCCTCCCCTCCCCCAAATCCGCAGAGTCGAACCTCGTGTGTCGCGTCGCGTCGCGGCATCGAGGTGCCACCGTGCCGGTCGCAGTGGCACTAACGGACCGTACGGTCACCTCGAACCCTCCCAGGCCGATGAGCTAAATTGTACAACGTCTGCATCAGTTTTTTCATGCTTCAGTACGGGAACTAGAACCTGATCTTTGAATCCGGAGTCGCCACCTCGCCTTTTCTCGCCTTCTAGTAAGACTTCCAATGGAGCACCCGACGGCTCTCTTCATCCTGCTCTGTACGCACCACTGCTGTTACTGATGTTCATAACTGCTATGGTAGATTTTAACCTCGATGTTTCTGAATCCAACGCTGACAATCTTGTCACCTTCCGCAGCATTTGCACTTGCAATGATGGCACTGCCATTGAGCGCATCTCTGTTGCGTTGCGCCGTCAGACTCTGAGATAAAGGCAAGTGCGGAAAGTGACGTCAACGTCAATTTTCCGTCACATTTGCGTTCACAACGTTGGGGACAACAAAGTGATGGACGAAAGTACCGGAACCGACCGTCACATTCCCGCCACAAAGCAGTTTCGGAAAAGTCACAATGACGTCACCTCGCACGTCCCGATTGCGTGACTTCCTCATCGCAATTTTGGATGTTACCTGCACGTTACGCAAATATTACATGGCGTACGCTTGCCACGCATGACGCCACGTCGACACCGTACGCTCAGTAAGGGTGACGTACGTACAACTGTGACACTTCGACGTACGCCGCACTCCACTAGCGTCCACCAGTGGCTTAGACGCACATGGTCGCATGCTATTGGCCGGTACCGTCGGTGCGGATTCGTCGCGCGGCAAACTAACCTACGAACACGATTGTCAGTACCCACTCTTCCCTCATGTCTGCTTCGGAAGCAACACACAACTGACATTTCTCGTCCCCTCATCATGCCGCTCCTCGTGCCGCATTCCCCGCCAGGTGCGGCGCTCTTCACTTCCGCCGCGTCAGCATCGCTCATCGCGCCAATCCCACGCGCCGGCCGCGTGTCTACCGCTGCTATCATTGGAGCCAAACGTCCACCGTGGAAAGGAAAGACAATCTGTAAGTTCCAACGCTCTGACGATGCTGTGCGCACTGACTCTTAAGAAACGCTATTAGTTCCAAAGCTTATGACTATCATGTGTTCGCGTGACAAGGTTTCTGTAACAAGTGCAACTGGCACGCGAGCCCGCGTGAAGGTCCCTCATTATGTATTCTCCGTCCACCCACCCGTCTTCCCCATGCGCCGCGGTTCCCGGCTATCCCAACGCCAGTGAAGTACGTGGCCAAGCTGCGTCCCACTAAGGTCAAAGGGAAGGTCGTAGGCGACAAAGGCGCATCGGGATTGTTCGTCGTCGAGGTAGTGAGGTATGTGCTTCTATACCCCTACTAATACTCAGCAAGGGGGACTCACGCTCTGCTCCCGGCCCCTGCTATGCTGCCCTCTTCTTCCCTCCACCCCCCTTCTTCTCCCCTACCCCCCCACCCCCCCCCCCCCCCCCCCCCCCCCCCCCCCCCTCTCCCCCCTCTTCCCCCTTTTCGCCTATGCATCCACCCCTTCACCATCAACCCCCTGTCCTCTCTTCACGGCTGCACCCATATCGTGTTGGCAGGCATTCAAAATCGCTATACTACACCAGCAACTACATTCGAGTTCTCAACTTAAATTGTGGAGGATACGCACCTTCCCCAATCAGCGTTAATTCCTGCAACAGTGACGAGGGTGGTTCAAGCGGCATGACGTGGAATAACATCACAAGTGACAAATCTGGTCGCAAAAAGCGCTACAGCTACTCTTTCTCAGTGGTTGACGGGCCAATGACTCTGGCTGAAGTTCCTCAAGACGTTTCTAGTTACGTGAAGGACGGAAAATTTATAAAGATTGCGTATCCCGGTAATATGAAGGCGCTCTGCGGGAAGCTGAAGAAAGTGGTCAAATAAATTGGCTCACTTTTGTGTGTATCAAAAGTAGTTTTGCATGTTTCAATCCCTGTGCAAAGGACAGCGTAAGCAAGCCATTGCGGCTGAGTGGGCCTGTTTTCACACAAGGTAGTACAGCCATCTCAACCCAAATACATACGCTATAAAGAAGCCTTCCATAGCCGGATTGTGTCAGCCAATTTTTTTGTAGCAAGCACTATGACCAAGAGGTGACACTAGGTAGGGAGACACCTACAGTCAGTGCCCTAGATATCAGACTTTTTACGCTGATTCAGCGTCCATTCAGACTTTTTTTTGGTACCTGGTCTGAACTGTAAGTTTTTTTTTATGTACCTTCTCTGATTTTTCAGAGTTTTTTTTATTGTAACCGCTGAAATTTCAGCCAATTTTTAGGGGTGTAGGCTGAGCCTCAGACTTGTGTCTGGGGTGCACTCTGCGAGCTTATCGAAAAGAAGTTTCCTGGAAGTTTCGTTTCGATATGCCCACTTCCGAGATGGCAGTGGAGTGCCAGGACGTGAGCAACGCACGCTTCAACAGCTGGGACATCCGAATGCACTCGTTCGTCGAGAATATCTCCCAGTTACACTAAGAAAATGGTTGCGTGATTACGAGATTTCGTAGACAAAATCTCGTCACATGTAAGTTATCGCTAATGTATTTTAAAGAATTGGCGATTTTGATGCTGATTCTTTGTAAAAAAATCTGCAGCACGCACTGCTGTGAAATTGCGAAGCTCCTGATTCGTAGTGAAAGTTTTTTTTTTTTTTTTTTTTTTGGTGAGCATAAGTACACTACTCGCATACATACACTCGCAGTCGTAACTGATTCTAGGAGGGCATGCAAGTGGCTATGGGTAACCAAGCCCCCCCTTCCACCTTACTGGGGCTGGAAGGCAACGCCGCCATCTTCCCATATGGCTTTGAAACCCGCTCTCCATGTCATCGAGGCTTTAGTGTCGTACAGTCTGCTCAGAGCAAATGCCTCGTCAGCATTTAAATGACTCCACTCCCCTGTCCTCTTCGAACCACCCTTGCCAGCCAGCCGTTTCCGCACTCTGCTGTATATCTTCACGTGTCTTGTAAAGCCGACCGCTATGCGCCTCAGTGCTCTTTTGGGTTGAAAACGGCAGCCACGAAACACCGCATTGCACCTCTCCAGCCATACTTGCTGAGCTGTGATTGAAATGATTGCAGCTTCCGGAAAACCGGTCGACGTGCCACTCTTCTGGAACAACATGTCTCCGAGGGATTTCATTTTCCTGCCCGGGTTCATACACTGTACCGCATTCTTCATCACCTCGACCACTGGTTGGATCACCGGGCAGCTGAAAAGGCAGTGATCCTGCGACTCCACCCCTCCACAGTGTACACATTTCGCCCTCTCCCCCAGGAAGGGAAGCCTCTCCCCCACTTGCAGGTTGTTGCTATGCAGCCTCAGCACCACCTCTCTTGCTTTGCATGGGGTTGCCAAGGAATCCCGGACCGTGATGGCCTTCCCCCAATCAATCCTCTTCCCCAACTCCTCCTCCCACCGCAGCTGCTGCTTGGGCTGGGACAGCGAGGGTTTCATCGCCTTCCTCAGCTGCCTCAGCTCAGCTCGTTCGCCCTTTTCACAGATCGGGGAGTGTAGCAGTCTTGTTCTTGGGGTTCCTAGCGGGCCGCGAACTCTCCCGTCAATTACCGCCATGGGCGTAGCACGCAGAAAGTCGACCGTCGTCGTATCTGCGTATCTC